ATCTTCATTTTAATATTTTGTTTTATTTTTTGTCTCTGTTAATATAATACGGTTTATGTGGTTTTGAGAAAGATATTATTTTTACTTTTAAATAAAAATAAATCTGAAGATATCATAAAAATTTGAAAAGATATATCGATATTAATATAAAATTAACTATTTAAAAGTTCTCTTTTTGCACAATTTTTTTAATTTAACTTTTTATTATAATTTAATTTAAGTCTAATAACGAAGTAATTTATTTTTGACTTAACAATATAATTTCTATAAAGATAATAATTATATTAGAACTCAATGATTATCCTACTTATATTTTAGATTTTTTTATTTAAAATGATATGTTTATCCTATATTTGATTATGTTTATCTGCAGTTAGTTATACGAATTCAAAAATGAAGCTTTAATAAGTTGTACATATGCATAATTACTTGTAATCTTAAATTTTAAGTAATATGCATTGATAAACAATACTTCATGTATAAAAAATGGTTTTTAAGATTTTTTGTCAAATGTTTTATAATATAGTATAGATATATACTTAATTATTCGATTATTAATTAAATACTATTTAGTTAGTTTATGAAAAATCAGATCACAATAATAGTATTATTATAAACTCATGCATGTTATTACGGAGATACAGATCCAACTCTTGCAAGTTGGTTCCGAAGTATCACCGTCTTTGATATGATAATAAAAAGTCGGAAATGAATTTTGGTACACCAACCGTTTATATTATTAGTACGATGATGTAAAATTCGGGATGACGATGGTTGTAGGAGACCAAACATGATTCCCACTTTAAAATGCATCTGGTTCTGGTTACGATATTATAAGACTCCCACCGGTTTGATGTTTTCCATGAAGTTGTGATTCTGCTCATCATAAGAGTAAAAATAGACAGATTAAATGACATGTCAAAATTATTTCGAATCAAACAGGTTAGCTTTTGTGTGAAGTTGACTTGATTAACCAAACCTTTTTTGGTCAGTTTTTTATATTATCTATACTATATTATAAAACATTTGACAAAAACTCTTAAAAACCATATTTTTATGCATGGAGTACTATATATTGATGCATATTACTTAAAATTCAAGATTACAAGTAAACTATGCATAAATACAACTTATTAAAGCTCCATGTTTGAATTCATGTAACTAACTGTGGATAAACATAATCAAATATAGGATAAACATTTCATTTTAAAATATAAAAAATCTAAAATATAATTAGGATAAGTATCGAGTTCTAACAAAATAATTAACTATTATTTTTATAAGAAAATTATATTACTAAACCAAATATAAATTACTTTGTTATTGAACTTAAATTAAATTATAATTTAAAAAATTACACAAATTTATATTTTATTCAAAAATAAAAACATTATCGCTTTTTCAAAATCACATACGACCATATTATAACATCGATTGAGATAAAAAAAATGAAATATTAAAATCAAAATGTATCTCGCTACATTACGCGAGTACCCTTCTATTATAGATAACTTAACGTATAATATATGAGTACATGCTATTACTTAAATGATGGTCGGATTTTTTCTTAACAAAACAGTTTAAGAGACGATAATAGTTGATTATAGATTTGCATAAAATGTGTTTTGGCAAAAAACTGTTTTGCGGTTGATCGTTATGAGATTAATCAGCTCGTATAGCGAATTAGATATCCAGGTTAATAGGAAAAAAAAAAATTAAGAGCAAAAGAAACACACACTAAATACAAGCAAGTTGTGTGTTTTTCAGTTTTACGTAATTTTGTATTTTATATAATAAAAAAAAGGTTAGCATAGAATCCTTGAAACGTGCAAGTAATTTACGGGTTGAGAAATAGGACATCTTTTGCTTAGACCATACTCTCGGTCACAATTAAATATATATTATTGTAGTAATAATTTCCTTGAATGTTCTAGAAGCAAATTTTTAATAGGTTTTTTAAAATTAAAAATAAGAATTATATTTAACTTAAAAAAAATTTCAAGATTTTAATATCAATTTATATTATTGAAGGGTATTCGCGCAATGCAACGATTAAATCTTCATTTCAATATTTAGTTTTTATTCTGTCTCTATCGATATAATACAATTTTATGTAGTTTTAAGAAGACGATAATATTTTTATTTTCAATGAAATATAAATTTGAAAACAACATAAAAAATTTTAAAAAAATAAAATCGATATTAGTATTAAATTAAATTTTAATAGTTCTCGTTTTTCTGTGTGACTTCTTTAATTCAAAATTTTATTATAATTTAATTTAGGTCTAATAACAAAGTAATTTATTATTTCTGGTTTAATAATATAATTTTTATTAAAGATACTAATTAAACATTTCGTTAGAAACTCAATAATTATCTTAATTATATTTTAAATTTTCTATATTTAAAATAGATGTTTATCATGTTTATCTGCAGTTAGATACACAAATTTAAAAATGAAACTTTAATAAGTTGTACTTACGCAAAATCACTTGTAATCTTGAATTTTAAATAATATGCATTAATAAACAGTACTTCATGCATAAAAAATGGTTTTTAAATTTTTTTTGTCAAATGCTTTATAATATAGTATAGATTATATAATTTTACCACCTTAATACTTTTAAAAATATTATGTAAAATAATAATAATTCAAACTTATTAGTAAAAATCTATACTATATTATAAAACATTTGACATAAACTTTTAAAAACTATTTTTTATTTATCAAGTACTGTTTATTGATAAAAATTACTTAAAATTCAAGATTACAAGTAATTTTGCATAAGTACAACTTATTAAAGCTTCATTTTTAAATTCGTGTAACTAACTGCAGATAAACATAATCAAATAGAGAATAAACATCTATTTTAAATATAGAAAATCTAAAATATAATTAAGATAATCATTGAATTCAAACATAATGTTTAATTATTATCTTTATAAAAATTATATTATTAAATCAAAAATAAATTACTTTGTTATTAAATCTAAATTAAATTATAATAAAAAAATTGAATTAAAAAAGTTACATAAAAAAACGAGTAATTTGACATTAATATCGATTTATTTTTTTTCAAAATTTTATGTTATCTTCAAATTTATACTTCATTTGACAAAAAAAAACTCTTAAAATCGTATTATCTCGATAGAGACAGAATAAAAACTAAACACTAAAATAAAGATTTATCTCGCTGTATTGCGCGAGTACCCTTCTAGTAATTAAAAAAATAGTTCTCCCTCTTTACATTAAGATGTAGAGAATTTTTAAACTTGTAAATGATTTTGCTTGTTTTATTTTAGAAAAGAATATCAAGAATCATTTTGAACAAAATTTCCATTTTCTTAATTTAGAAAATATGTTGGAAATGCTCTAAACTTTAAGGAGGGAAAGTCGTACGGAAGAGCGGAACCTGAGTATAGCGGAGACGATAGCAGTTAGGGTGCGTTTGGTACGCAGACAGGACAGGACAGGACAAGATGAGACAGGACAGGACAGCTGTTCAGCGTTTGGTAAGACATGACAGGACAGGACATGACAGAACTGGTTAAAATGACCAATTTACCCCCAGTGAACTATTTAGTGTTTTTTCATTAAATAATCAATATAAATGTTTACAAATACTATTTAAAAATACCAAAAAAAACTCACATTCCAACTATATTATTTAAATATGCATTTATTGTTAATTCTACCATTTCCTTCCATTTCCAAGAGCTGTTTACCAACTATACTTCCATTTCCTTCTTATTGTTAATTCTACTCGTTGATCTGACTGAATCGCCATGAACGCCTCACCTTGGAAGCTCTCTGCAATTCTTCCTTCACAATCCCTGCTGTCAATTTAGTTTTTCTGCTTGTTTTTTGATTTCATCCGACCACAACACATGGGTTCTGCGATCGGAAGAAGCAGCAGCGGTGGCCATCGGAAGAAGCAGCATCGGTGGCCATCGGAAGAAGCAGCAGCGGTGGCCATCGAAAGTCGCCGTCACCGGTCGCCGGTTGAGCGGTGGAAGCGATGGAGGAGAGGAGTATGAGCCGGTCACAGTATGCGTATGAGGTTTTTGAGGGTAAAGTGGTAAAATTTTTCTTGTTCTACTTAGTTCCAGGGGTAAAGGGTGGACTACCTTGTCCCACCCTTGTTCTAGTTAGTTCTAGTTAGTCCCACATAAAACCACACCAAACATAGGACAATTGTGTTATGTCATGTCCTGTCCCACCCTGTCTAACGTACCAAACACACCCTTAAGGAAGCTTTGAGCTGGCTTGAGCAACGTGGTAGTGGAAACCGATTTCTTTACCATGCGGAGGAATCAAACGACGCTATCTTCCTTTGACTCGATCATCCAAGACTGCAAGCTAATTCTTGAAAAGACTTCGAAAAATTCTGGTCATTTTGTTCAAGCGGTCGGCAAACACAATTAGAGTTTATACCCGATTTCGGATTCCTAAATCCGTAACTGCTTACGATCCTAAAGCTCACTCAATCGTTCCGTGATCTTGCTCACGTGAAGAAGAAAAACAAACCGTTTAAACTTATTAACGACTTGGTGACCTTGTCACACATCGCATATGCATTTCCACGAGCGTGAAAGGACCAAAACGTCATTTCACAAGAAGTTTAATGGATTCGACATCTCATATCAACAAAATAACCATAATTTTCTTATATTTGCTCAACTAGCAAGAAACGGGATGCCATGACATTCCATTTCAAACGAGACCACATGATACAACGGTTGTTTCCGATGAACCAAAACTATGCAAGAACATTCATGGTCCAGAAAACTAACTAAATATTAAAGGCGAAAAACCGCGAGCAGTAGAGAATACTGCATAGACTACAGTTTGTACAGTGGGCGAACGAGAAGCTGAAGAGAATTAGCACAGTATGACTGCTGGTAATAAGCCTTCCATAAATCTGAAAACTACCATCTGCTTCTTCCTTGAGGACCATCACCACCATTTTTTATCGGATAAAGATATAAGCTGCAAAAAAGCAAAGCTCAAAGATGTCACCTTCAGATATGAATCAAGACAGAAAGCACAAAACTATGAGAACTTCTGTTCATCCAATAGGGCCATGTCCATGGGCAACAGCAAATTGGTATCCAGTAAATATGCTTATATGGTTTTCTAGAGGCTTTGCCTCATTGGGGAGCAATGTTCTAACATGAAATTTCAACTTCTGTTCACGAGACAATGCAACTCCAAAAGCATGTTGTGGATCCAACAAGCTTTCGCAACCACATTCTCAACCCCCTAGCATTCAACCTCTGCACTGGAACAGGCGAGGGTGGGTTGCCGTTTCAAGGACCAAGAGATGATATTGTCCCCGAGAAAAACACAATAACCAAAGGTGGAGGGTCCGGTGTTGGGGCACCCACACCAATCTGCATCAGTGTAAGATACTAACCCTGTGATAAAGATGAGTATAGATGCATACCAAGATCAAGAGTGCCTTAAAAGGTACCACAAGATACACTTCAAGGCATGCAGGTGGTGCTCTCAAGGGTCATGCATGCATAAGAGAAAATGTTGCACGACATAAGAGATCGGATCTCGTGAAAATCAAATACTGAAGGGCATCTGCAAGACTGCGATAATGAGAAGGATCACCATACTTATTGCACCTCTTAAGATTCATCCCCGTCTGGATGTCCTTTATAAAAAACCCCGAAAGAATCAATTCAACAAATACAACATTATCCATGGTGAACTGACAAACAAATTTGAGGCTTTTAGTTGGTTTAAGAGCATGCAAAACGTTTGTGAGGGAAAGGGGAGGGTATGGCAGGGATACGTAGGATTGACCACGATCAGAAATAATGAATCATATGACCATTATCGACGACAACAGTTCTATCCATGCTCAAATTAAAATAGGACGAAAAAGCACCTTGGTTGGAAGCCAGGTGCATAGTGACACAGGTGTCCATATACTGGTTGTCGTCCGAGGGATTGAGTGCCATGGTGTAGAGAGCAACATCAATATTTGTCCGAGCATAAGCAGAAAACGATGCACCATAGGAAGTGTGTTGCAGTCTCGGGCCTAACACCCTGGTGTTTTACAGGATTCACGCATTGGTTTCTGTGACCTGGTCGGTTGCTAGGATAAGTACAGGGTGGAGTGCCCCATGTTGAATGCTGAGAGGAAGGTGGATCAATGTGACGAGAAGAAATAGTGGCTGACATGAAGGCTATCTCAGAGGCATTAGTGACGGCTTGCTGAGCTTGTCGGGTTCTTCTAAAGTGAGCATTGAACTTGCATGCTATCAATTTTTTTCACTCTTCTGGTTTCTTGTTTTTTTCATAATCAGCATTGCTAAGACCCTAATGCCAACATTCTAGCCATTCTATGTTAGGGGTGTAAATGACATGAGACAACTCGCGAGCGTCAAAACACGACTCAAATAGGCTCGACTCTAACTCAAGCTCAACATACTAACGAGACGAGCTACCGGTACTTGACTCGAAAAGCTTGTGAGATACTCGATTTTTTTATATATAATTAGTTTCATAATATAATGTGAAATTTATAAATAAACTTAGCAATACAAAAGAATGTCGTATATTTTTTGATATTTGAACAAAATTGTACATTTTTAACTATAAAAATTAATCAATTATTTTTTATTAAAATCATAATTAGAAAAAGACAAAAAAAAGTGTTGGTGAAGTTGTCCGACGTTGGAAAATAGATACTAAGTGGTTCAAATAATCTTTTTGAAGAAATGAAATCTGTCAAAGGAATGAAATGTTATCAGGTTTGACCAAGTATTTGGTTGGTAGAAAACGGAATCTATCAAATGAATTGGAATCTATCTGTTTGGTTGACAAAGGAATAATGACAAAAATACCCTTTCTTTGATATATTTTTTAATTATAATATTAACATTTGATATGAAAAAATAAGTAAATTACCATTTATTAAATCATATATAAACATAAAACTTGTAAAAAGTTTGATATAATCATATACCAAACCGTTCATACACGTTACTGCATTTTGTTGTCAAACCCTTCTTACACATGACTCTAGGTTACCGAACCACAACATCGAAGCAATAAGTACCAAAAATAATGTTCATACACATCTATAAGCCGATCACTGGTCTAACGTAAACCAAAAATATTATTTTTAAAGCAAACTGGTCATTGATCCAACATAAACCGGATCCAAATAAGTACAAAGATGTGTACTCCAAATAGTAATTACCACCAATCAAAAATATTGTTTTCAAAACAAACCGGTCATTGGTTCAACATGAACCGGACCCAGTTTTTGCGCCTTTCCTACTTCAAGCTCCAAAAAGTTATCACATATTCAAATTCTTTTGTTATCTTTCGCAATGCAGTGAACAATTTTGTTTCAAAAAATGTTCCAAAATTTTCAAGCTCATTGGCGATCATGGAAGTTTTTTTTGAACATTTCCAGTTCAACTTCTATCAAAGAAGCGGATGCTTTCATAAGTTTGTTCCCAACCATAAATGTTGCATTGATGATTACCTCATATAAATGATCATTTTCTAGTCTTCCTTTTCTTGCTACCACTTGTACATTTTTGACTTTGCAGATTAGAGGCATCATCTTGCTCCTAGGAAGGTTGTTATCAGAGTGATTGATATATTCTTTCATGCTTGTATCTTCCATAGTATCTCTCACTCTATTCTATCCTCGCCAAAAGCAATGCACAAATCCTCAATATGAGGAAACATCTCGTTTTTCTATTTGCCGCCTCTTTGTGAACCTATTTCATATCACCAGTCGCAACATTTAATTATAAAACAACAAAATCTAATTACATTTTTTAAAACATAACAAATGAATATGTACCTGTAGATAAGATGGTGGTTCAGAAGTCGCACAATATTTTTTGCTATCAAAACCAAAACAACTAGTATTACTATCATGCAACATGCCATAAACAACCTACCAAAAAAATTTCATTGTCTTTATCCTAGACAGAAAATGGGGTTTACCCAATATACCAAAAATGGGAAGTGATTCTTTTAAAGCTTGTTTTAAATGTTGTAAATAGCCAGATTTGAAGCCATTGTCAACTTCAAACACTACCTTATTTACCAAACTCTCAACAAGTTTAGCATCTTCAAGTGAAGACCAAACCTGATAGTTTCTTCGATGACTCGTCATACCTATGGTAACATAAACATAATCATAAACAAGTGCAGCAAAAATAAAACCATAAAAGGTAGCACTCCAAAATTGAACCATAACATCAATTAGATTGGTCTTGGAGTGCTACCTTTTATGGTTGTATTTTTAATGCACTTGTTTATGATTATGTTTATGTAAGCATAGTTATGACAAGTCATGGAAGAAACTATCGGGTTTGGTCTTCACTTGAAGATGCTAAACTCGTTGAGAGTTCGGTAAATATGGTAAATAATGGAATGTTTAAAGCTGACAACGGCTTCAAATCTGGATATTTACAACACTCAAAATAACAGAATCACTTCCCAATTCTGATATATTGGGTAAATCCCATATTAAGTCGAGGATAAAGACAAGGAAAAAAAGTTGGCAGGTTGTTTATGGCAAGTTGCATGGTAGTAATACTAGCAGGTTTGGTTTTGATAGCAAAGAATATTGTGTGACTGCTAAACCACCAGGAGTTTATCTACATATACATATTCAATTTTTATGTTTAAAAAGTGTAATTATATTTTGTTGTTTTATAATTAAATGTTACGACTTATGATATGAAATAGGTTCACAAAGAGAAGGCAAAATGGAAAAACAAGACATTTCCTCATATTGAGGATTTGTGCATTGTTTTTGGCGAGGATATAGCTAACGGGAATAGAATGAGAGAAGCTTTGGAGATGGAAGATACCACGAAAGAACATATCAATCAATCCAAGGATAACCTTTCTAACAAGCAAGATGATACTTCTAATGCACAAACAAATGTTCAAAGTCAAGTATCTACAAGTGGTAGCAAGAAAAGAAAAAACAGAAGTGATCCTTTACATGAGGTAATCAACAACGCAACATTTATGCTTGGGGACAAACTTATGAAAGCATATGCTTCTTTGGTAGTAGTTGAATGGGAAATGTTCAAAAAAACTTCCATGATCGCCGATGAGCTTGAGAAGCTTGGAACATTTTCTGAAACGGAAATGTTCACTGCATTGCGAAAGATAACAAAAGAATTTGAATCTTGATAAGTTTTTGGAACTTAAAAGAGGAAAGGCGTGAAAAAAGGGTCCGGCTTTCATATTGGACCAAAATGATCGGTTTGTTTTGAAAACAATATTTTTGGTTGGTGGTAATTAATGTTTGGAGTACCAATCTTTGGTACTTATTTTTGGGTCGGGTTTATGTTGGACAACGATTGGTTTGCTTTAAAACAATATTTTTGGTTTACATTAGAGCAATGATCGGTCTATAGATGTGTATGAACATTATTTTTGGTACTTATTGCTTCGATGTTATGGTTCGGCTACATATAGCCATGTGTAAAAATGGTTTGATAACAATATCTATGTATGTATTTGATGTGTTAATGTGTATGAACGGTTTGGTTTATGATCATATCAAATTTTTTACACGTTTTATGTTTATATATGATTTAATAAATGGTAATTTACATATATTTTCACATTCAATGTTAATTTTATAATTATCTATGATTAAAAAATATCAAAGAAAGGGTATTTTTATCATTTTTCATTATTCCATTCCAATTCCTTTGTAGACCAAACAAAGATATCCCAATTCATTTGACAGATTACATTCCATTTCCTGCCAACCAAACACTTAGAAAAAATAAAAAATCGTGGTTAGTAGCCAAAGCCATTGGGTCAAACCTGATAACATTTCATTCCAATTCCTTCCATATTCCAATTCCTTTGGCAAATTTCATTCTTTCAGAAAACATTCTGTGAACCAAACGCCCCCTAAAGGAAGGGTGAAGAGGTGTTATAAAGAGAGATAGGTGATTAGAGTTTTTAACTTTCTCAATTTGATAATGAAATTTGAGGTGCATCCTTGACTTTTATAAAGTTTAAGAGAACACCTTCTAAGTTTAATAATTTATAAGAGAAGACCCTGAAATTTCATAAATTTCAGCAGAAGAGCTTGGCTCTAGTTAGTTTAAGTTTGATACTGGTTCGAGCTTCAAATGAGTTCAAGCTCGAGTTCAAGTTCAAACAATTTCAATTGAGTTTGAGCCGAGTTTAGTTTTTAAGTACTCGCGAGTTTTCGAGTTGAGTTCAAGCTTGGTAAATGGCTATTGAGTTCGAGTCGAGTAGACCACTACTCAAGCTCGACTCGCATCATTTACACCCCTATATGTGATAGTTGTGGAGGAAGGTTAGATATCTTTAATTGAGAGGGCTTTAGATTTGGAGGCCATTAGACCTAAGGTAGCATTTGGTAGGCAGACAGACAGGACAAGTTATTTTTTTGATGTTTGAAGGCTTTAGATTTGGAGGCCATTAGACCTAAGGTAGCATTTGGTAGGCAAACAGACTAGACAAGTTGTTTGTTTGATGTTTGGCACGACTAGGACTGGGTTGGACACGTTGCCCCTAAATGTTTAATGATTTTATATGGTGGTTACTGATAGTATTGGAAGAGGAGGTGGTGACTACAACAGAGGTGAAGGTGGTGGGCGTAGAGGTGTAGTGGCGGGCGTTGGTTGTAGAGGATGTGGAGATGGTAGACAGTGGTGGTGGTGGTGGCGGCGATGGCAGCCGTGGATATGGAAGTGGTGGTTGTAGAGGAGGAGCCATGGAGGTGGTGACGGGATGATGGTAGGTGGCCGATAGTGATGGAGGTGGCCGCCAATGGTGGTAATGACGAAGATGTGCGGTGGTGGCTGGTGGTCAACGGTGGTTGTGGAGGATGTGCAGATGGTGAATGTTGAGGTGGAGGTGGAGGTGGAGGTGGAGGTGGAGGTGGAGGTGGAGGTGGAGGTGGGCAGTGACAATGGTAGCTGATGATGGTGGAGGTGGGGATTATGGAGGTAATCAAGGGTAGCCATCACCAATGGTGGCAACAACGGTGATGAGAGGTGGTGACCATTAAACCAAATATCATATTAGTGTTATATCAAATGAGGGTAGATAGGTAACGTCTTAGTTTTGTCCCATCTAGGTGGAACAAAAAAAAAGCCTTTTTTGTCCCATCCAGCCCCTGGCCCATGTCGCGCCAAATGCGGAACATTAAGTTTTGTCCTGTCCTGCCCAGTCCCATGTACCAAACGCAGCCTAACGGCAACCAGAGCATGTGTAAAAGAACCCGAGATCAAGGTTCTAGGGGATTCCAGACAACCCCTTCACAAGATGCTTGCAACCATGGCTCCATGAAGTCTCAACATTCCATTGAAGAGCCTTTTACCCGTTTCTACATAGGAGAAGAGGTAAGTAACCTTGATGAAGATGTTGCTCTTTCTAGCCTGTTCAAATCAGGGAGTTTCCACTGATTGGCATTCCTGCTTCATGTCTTAGATCGGGACTCCTTCCTCAATGGCGAGGCTCTTGCCTCTGAGATGGCTAGGTATATGAGGCTTCTGGCTTCCGTTCAGCTTTCCTTAGACACTCCTGCCCTTGAGGGGCTTCACCCATACCTGGTGTGTGGAAAATTCCCTTGCTGGGATGGTTGAGGTACCACTTCTTTCCTGTTCATATTTTTTTGTGTTTTCCTCCTTTTTCTTAATGTCTTTTTAGTTCACCAGTGAACTCCTTTGTGTTGTATAGGCCTTCTCCTTGTCAGCCTATGGTTTGGGAGAAAACACTCCAAAAGACCACAAGACATGTGAACAATTTGAGATATATATATATATATATACACACACACACACACACATATATATATATATATATCCACCAAGGATTTAAGAAGTGGGTAATCATCAAGTGCCTAGAAAGAGAGCTTCTTGAGCATACCCCACTTTCAAATCATGACCAGAAGGAGGCTAAGAAGATGAAGGAAGAGATGGAGGGAGCGAAGAAGGACGCTACTGATGTTTTAGGCCAAAATTGGGATGCTACAAGCCCAGAACTACAGGAGGTGGCTAAAAGGCTGATCAAGGTCGAGGAGCAGGTTATCGAGAAGCACTGTGCCAACATCAGGAAATGCATCCATGAAAGGAAGACAATCATATCAACAACCTACGGGCAAGTGGACTTCATAGTGCAAAGGAATGATCCCGTAGACACCACAACGGCGTGTACAAGCTGTCAGGGATGTCAATCTAGACTACTAAGTAGGTTTTTTCGACCCCGAAAACAATCCCACCATCAGGCCTTCCAACTCTTCTCCTGAGCTGCCTTCTTCCTACGGTTCTTTGCTTCTCTGTTTCCCCTTTTTGAAATTTGTAACTTGTGGGCAATCTATTGAAGGGGCAATCTGTGAAGCAACCACAATAGCCATGGAAGAGCTTGAAGCCTTTCCTAATTGTAATAGAGTCTAATTAGCTTGTACTTTGTAACCCTTTGGGGATTTTCATGAATAGAAGGAATGACTCTTTTATCCCCAACTATTTTGAATATTTGTTCTCTTATCCTGCTCCATATAGCTTCTAGCTATAACTGCTATGAAGTTTGAACACCATCTTTATTTTGTTCTACTTTAAACTTCAAGTGCTTAGAATGATTTTTTGATCGAGTTTCCAGCATTGTACTCTAGGTACCCAGGGCTGATGTCACAACACGAGAGGCCTCAGTATACATGCTTGGTTGTGATAACCGTTGGCCCTTCCTTTGCTTTTCAAAACATCAGCTGTTGAAGGTCTTCATTAGCTTTGCTCCAAATTCCCGAATCATACTTGGCAACTTGTTTCCCAAAAGGTACTGAGCTTGTTCTGTGTAGAATCTCGAGTTCTGGTAGCCGATAAGAAACCCTTTGAATTTTCTACCCACAAGTTGAGTTCCATCGTCGTTAATGAGCACCTTGGGACCCAATCAGACTATAGCACTTTGGTAGAAATACTTTTGCATCGTTTCTCTGAAATGGTCCTAAGGGGTCGAGCATCTACCTACTTGGTCATGTAGCTGATGACTAAAATACAAATTTTCTACTATCCTCGTGCGGTGGTGACCAAGCTTGCAACATCAATCCCCTAGACGACAAGTGGAATGGGGCTTCGATCACTGATAATTCCTTTGAGGACAGAGTTGAAAATGTAGTACACACATAGGGTCATCTAGGCTACCTTTTCAAAGATGAGGGTGTCTAGAAATCCAAAATAAATTGTTCATTCCACCATTTGTCACAACATGAGGCCATCTTGGTGGGCATGTTTGCCTTGAAGTTTTATCATGGTCAAGTTAAAAGTTTGAACTATTATATCTGACGGGCTTCCTTTGCCCATGTTGCCTACCGAAGTGCTTACCACTAGCTAGGACTCCATGATCTATCTGCCAAGTGAGTGGTCTCTTTGAAGTTTGAACTTCCTAACATATGCTCTAAAAGTGAGTGGTCTTTTTCATGTTCCCTTGGGTCTTGCACATTGCAATGGCTCACAAAGTTCTTTTAATTGTTAGAAGAAGTTGATGGAGACAAGATTTAGCACTCTATAGCAGGTTTGGGCCGAGTACTGAACCCCCATTATAGCATTGTTGTTTTACTAGCCAGGGACCGCTCTAGGTTGGGGATCGAGGCATCGCCTGGTTGTCCATTCTCTTCGGTGTTGACGTTTTCCAAGAATTGAGACCTAGCTGGCATGTTGCTATAAAGTAACAACTACAGTTTTGTTGAAAAAGTGTCCTTGTGCTCGTGCTATTGAGTCCAGTAAACTGATGGATGACTCCATCCACTGCCTAGTGGACCAACTCCATGGCATTTGGAAAAGGTTCAAAATGCCGAGAGGTCTCTCCAACAATTACTTCCAGCTTAGCAGGATAAGGCATGATAGGAAACAAACATTCAGTATTCTAAAACACCTGACAGCATTGGTTCCATTGTACTCAAAACTCCTAAGAGAAGGTAATCAACCTTCCATGTCTCTTTATCACTTCTAGCGAACTTGCTAATGTGTCTCTAGTTATTAGTGGTGTGTATAATTCGATTTGAACCAAGGGCAAGGACTGGTCCCATTTGAAACCAAAACTAGAGTTGGCAACATATAGTGCAGTTCCCATTTCCAATATTTTAGAAATTTGGGGTCTTGGTTGGGTGCACTTGGTACGCCGATGGAACTGGAATAGACTCGACGAGCGAGAGTGAGGTAGGCAGGTGAAAGAATTGTGAAAGGTTTTAGGGTTTTAACTAGACATGGGTAATTTTAGTAATTTACCAATCTTGTCCCATCTCCCTAACTTTTGTGCAGCCTATTTTTGTGGGACGAAAAGTATACATTTTTGTCTCACTCTGTCTCATCCTCTACCAGTTTATTGTTGCGTAAAAAATGGACGACTTTTTCTTTTGTCTTCCGCTGTTCCGTTCTGTCCCTCGTACCAAATGCACCATGACGTACCGTTTCTGTTTTTTTATTCATTCTACAAAACGAATATTTGATGATTATGTGCATGTACAGTTTTACCATCATAATTTAGGAAGGACATACACTTCCTAGGTTATCCATAAATGATGATCTAAAATCTCATTAAAGAAAACCAAAATGTTTGTGCAATGAATCTTGAAAATAACATTTTCAATTTATGGTTCTCGGTTCTAACTTTTCCGAATTTTTGGATTCAGTTTGGTCCAGTTCTAGACCAGTGCAGAGCCCTGGTTAGTATCGATGTACTGAAGAAACATAAATATCAGGATAAACTATGTAGATAAATCACTAACCTGGCGAGCAACTTGTTCTAGGCGTATCTTTTCTGGAGTCGATTCTCCTATCAAGTTGGCCTTTCCAAGACCCAGATTTTGAGCCTTTTGGTTCTCTTCATTCCGTTCGCTAGATGCACATCCATTGATCAAAGCCCCTCTTTTCCTCTTCCTCTGGAACGTGTACTTGATAACTCTATCAGTCATTGGTTGACTCGGAACCTCGCTGGTCTCAGAAGCCTTTGTCTCTGAAATCTTTAACGGAGGATCAACCTGTGCTTCTACGCTCTGTAATGATTCATCTTTTTCTAGTCTCGTGGGAATAAGTTCCACCCTAATTGTGCTCTGACTATCACACGTTCTTACTAGATCTTCATCGGAGATTTCCTGTATGGCTGTATCATTTGGATGTTTGACTGAACTTGGAGAAGTCAAACATGAATCCTCAGCTGCTACATCCATCTCCTTTACTTGCTCCAAAATTACTTCTTTCTCCTCCATACTGCACAGGCTATCAACCCCAAGTGAGGGTGATTTACGTAATTTATCTAGTGCTTCATCCTCTTTGACAATTGACTCGGGCTTTATGTCATCCATTTGCAGAGAAAATGATAATTCCTTATCCGGCTGGGTCCGTTCACACGCACGGATTCTCTGAGTACACCCATTTCTATATAGCTCAGTTTCTTTGCTTCTCAATATTATAGAAGGTAAATCCCCGTTACCGATTAAAGATTTCTTTAAAGGAAATAAAGAATTATAAAGTCTCTGGCTTTTGTTTGTCTGATCTATATTTGAATTGGGTTGTACTTCTGAAGGAGGGAATGGAATGGATTCAGAGGTTCTCGGTACATTTCCCATTGATGCATCATCTACTTGTACTGGATGCTTTACTTCTTTGCTTTGTGAGAACCTCTCAAGTTCCATCTCGACTGCTCTCAACTCCTCCCTGAGGTCTTTCACTATGTCTTCCGCCTCCTGAAGTTGTGCTTCGAGTTCTTCAATTTTCTTTTGTTGGGTACACGACGCCACTGCTGCTTCGTTAATCTGCCAAAAATTTCAAAATGGATATGCATCATATTTTACTTGTGAAAGCAGTGAACGAGAAGTAGAAAACTACATGTAATACTTTTAAAGGTTACTATCATAAAGCGTATGAACAGTTAATAGAAGATACATGGGTTCCGTCATCCAAGAGAAGACTTCTCAGCCATGGTTATCTTAAGATCACAACACAACTCTATTGTCTCTACATCTTAATCTTAATCATCACACAATGACTCTTAGGTTATGGTTGGCCAACTAGCTGTTAGCTAAAAAAACTAGTTGTTGGCTCATAAGCTAGCTGTTACTTGATAAGCTAGTCACTTTTGGTAAAAACTAGCTGATAAGTTAGATGACAATGTAAAATGACCTAAAAGAACATATTAAAAAAGTAATTCAGAAATATTAAAGGGCATAATTGGAAAAAAGTGAAAAAAAGCCCCTAGAGCTTATTTTTCAATATGTTCTTATCAAAAAGCCTCTAGTTTATGGCTTATCAAACGGGGATTTTTTTTTTTTGATTAACTTGAATATCCAACCCGTTATGCGAGCCGACTAATCCCAGGGCGACTACCTGCTTTGCAGATAACCCGGAGTCACCGCATTTGAACCTCCGTGGCCACAAGGGATTTTTATTCCTCCTTCGATTTGAACCTGAGACCTCCTGATACTTTTGACCTTTGGAGCCAAGCTCAAACCAATCAGACACCACCCTTGTGGCTATTTCAATAAGCTCAAAAAATAAGCTAGCTTATGGTTGCCAAGCATGGCCTTATTTTTCTTTCTCAAGCACCCCCAACAACTTTAAAAACCCTTCTCTGCTCCCATTCACCAAAATATGGAAGTGTGTGTGTCTGTTAATGCGAGTGAGACACATATTTCTAATCTTTTTGGCCGTTGGCCCAACATATTGAAGGTATCTGGACAGGAATGTTTTGCAGTTTGCACCCTTAAAGGGACTTAAATTAACCACTAACTTGGTTCATTGAAACAAAGGGGGACCGTAATTTACCAAGGCTTGCAGGCTTTGCGAAGTTAGGAAGGAAAATCTCTGTACGCAGTCTTTCCCTTGCGTTGCTGCAAAGAGAATGTTTCTATAACTCGAACCCGTGAAAGTAACCTTATTGGTTCCTATACATCGTGCAGTTTCCCAAGTTAGTGATACACTTATTGCGTTGTTACTTTCTTTAACGTGTTCCATTGAATTACACCACGTGTAAAATATGACATGTTTGTCGTAGAATCTAATATTAATCGTTTGTTTCGTGTTTGAGTTTCATCCTACTTAAGGGTAAACCATGTGAAGTCTATATATAGAAGACGTGGTATTCATGGTAGGAATCAAATGATCTTTATAAATGGTCCTCAACATGCGCGATTCATTTAAACATGTACTCAAAAAGAGAGAAGATAATCGTAGAAACTTAAGGATATCTTCAAAATGCATATGGATCACACAACATTGAGCATAGACCTACTGAAAGAAATAATTCCTAGTCTCCAACATGAAATCAATCCCTTGTAGCCATGAAGGTTCACCTATGATGACTCCATGCCATTCATGGTCGCCCAGGGGATTAGTCTGTGCGTGTAAGCTGGCCCGGATACCCACAATCACCCAAAACAATAAAGACCGCATCTTTTAAGCTATAACATGGTATACTTGACCATACACAACTTACAAGCTACACGACACCACCACCAAAGATGACATTCACCAACATGATTGAGATTATGACATAATAGTTTATCCAAATTCATATAGTGAAGTTTTTCCTATTGCACCAAACGATCAAGAAATCTTTGGCATTGAACAAAACAGAATGCCCATCAACAATCAAGAAATCTTTGGCATTGAACAAAACAGAATGCCCATCAACAATCAAGAAATCTTTGGCATGTACGAAGAAAACCCCCAAAATTCGTCAACTCTTTGACTAAATTCATAACTTAAACCAAACAAAACAAGACTCCGGCCGAAAGAAATCATAACAGAAAGTTGCAATTTAACCAAAACATCTAGTATCTGATCAATGCATTCTTGAATCAAGATTATAACCCCAAACAGAACAATTAAACTAAACCCTTCGTATTCAAAAATCGACCAAGATTCCAAACAATACAAACCCAACCTTTAAATGGGATCATTACTAAACCCTAAGCACATAAACCTTCATTCAAATTCAAAATCAAAATCAAGTAATCAAAGTAAACCCCACTTACCAAAATGCGAACAAAAAGTGGAATTTTGAAAGTTTCTGTTCATACCTTGGAATCCATCATCTTTTTTAGTCTCAAAAGCATCTGAAGTGCATCTTCTTTAGCGTTTTTAAGCTCGTATTCAAACCGAAGAGCTTTCCGTTCAGACACCATAATCCTCGCCGCTGCTTCTTTCGCCGTATTGAGTATAATATCCGCATACGCCTTCTTCAAAGCTGTTAATCTCTGCAACAATCAAATGCAAAACAACCCAAAATCAGGCACCCAACAAAATGTAAACAAAGAAGATCAAACTCGATCCCTCGATGAAAGAAAAAACCAAAAACCCAAATCAAGAACGAAAAAACGGTTAAATTTCTATATTCTCGAGAGAGTAGCGCCACCAGCCACGGTGGCGTGGAGCGTCGGAGAGATGAATGGGTGTTTGAATTTACCTCGTCGGCGTCCATCCTTAAAGCATCGAAGAAATTGATTTGTTTTCAGACCTTAAAGAGAGAGAAAGGGAAAAGGGTTAGTTGTTGCCTCTCTTCGTAAGCAGCTGTCTGTTACGAACTGAAAGTTCTGTTGCCCTTGTTACGGTTTTACCCCTGGTTTTTTCTGAATTTCCGATAATGCCACTATTTGGTTAAACCTACGAACCGTAACATCGTTGGTCCGGTTTCTGCCATTTTCATTCTCATGTTTTTCCAATGGGCGCGCGACACAAAGTGGTTTTTGAGCACGTGTCATAATCTAGAGGTTACACGTGGAAAACCATCTTCTTTTTAGATAAATCTTCAATTATTTGGAATTTTTTTGGAGTGTGTATTTACGTGACACAATGAGATATAAATTTTATTGTAAATTACAATTTTAAGGTTTTAAGTATAAAATTCTTTTGGGTTCTTTCACTATTGTTGATTCAGTCCATTTTTGTTCCGCCTCTGAGTTTGTAGGTTGGTGATAATAATCATGCTTTTTTAACTTCACGAGATGAACTTTACATCTTTAATATTTCCATAAACGATGCCAATTGTTAAAACCATCTTAAGAATCGACTCTAATGATAAGATCTGTCATAAAGTCAATGACGGGCATTGAACAAGATATCGAGAGCAAGGTTATGACACGAGACGTGTCCCATACACCAACATTAATCCAAGTAGCGACTATTTAAGATGAGGTAGGTGTCATGGTGTCTTGAGGCACATTATGGGTGTGCATTTTGTTATTTCTAGTCTGAATTTTGACTTTATTTTATCTTTTTAGGTTTTTTTAAATGGTCGTTTTTTTATCGTGTTATGAGCTATTTAAATAACACTTTTGTGGACTTTATAGTTTATATATATAATTATCCCTTGACATTTGGATCAATTAATCTAACAGTTTGAGAGAGGTTTTTCTGTTTTGTATTTTATAAGGTTTTCACCTGAATCTAAGTGTGTGAGTGTGTGTAGGGGTGGTTTCAAATACAAACTATGTAATTCTTACAAACCATTATATTAGGAAACAATTGAGATATTATGGATAACTATCATGATTCATTAATTATGATTAAGATATATATATATATATATATATATATATATATATGAAAGATGATAAAGTTCATTCATTATGATCATGACTTTGAATTAGAAAACAAAATAAAAAATCATATCTTTATTAGACTATATGCACGGTTAAAATTGGTTTGTAAAGTTTGTTAACTATATATGTATGTACATATGTATATATGTATGTATGTATAAATTACATACACACACAAACACACGATATCAATATATGTTTTTTATATGAATTTAAATTATTTGATATCATTGAGTAATAGTAACAAAAATACATGTGTCTATATATATATATATATATATATATATAGAGAGAGAGAGAGAGAGAGAGAGAGAGAGAGAGAGGGGGGTTTAGGGAAAACCCCTCAAAAAACTGAAAAACCGAGGAACACCACAGTAACCATTCATTTGGACGGTATGCATGTGTGCCGACAAGTAATTAAAGTTGTTTCTTGGTTTTTATGCATATGTGCATGTTATGCACTTGTGCATACCCGACAAAAGTGCTTACAAATTACTTGTATGCACATATGCATACCGTCAGTGATGAAATGTTATCAGAATGTTTCTCAGGGGTTTTTTTTTTTTTTTTTAACCTTTATATCTAACTCGTTATACAAATTGCTTAAAATTACCATTATGCACAGATACATACTGTCCAGATGAATGGTTACCAGTGTGTGGGTTTTTTTTTTTTTTTTTTTTGCGGTTTTTCCTGAACTTGGTCCTATATTTATTATGTAAAAATGATTAAATCAAATGAGAACCACGAAAATATTATAAAACCATGAAGACGTGAAAAAACATTTTCTTGCATTTTTCCCCCATCACATGCTAGAATTTAAGGTATTTTTCACATATATTTGTTTTATAACGATATAGTTTCACACGCATTTATTTTGTATTGTGAAACTTTTTATATATAATTTTCATTTCATTATGTGATTAAAAAGAGTTCTACATAGATTTTTTCACCATATGAAAAGAAATGAAACAATAGCTAAAATCACGTGGGATGAAAAAAAATCATGGTGAAAAATATATTTTTATATCAGTTCTTACGAGTTTATTTCCTTTTTGTAGTTCTCGAGTCCTTGTAAAAATGTATAAAATGTTTATAAAATAAATCATTTAATATTCACATGATTTTTTTTATTTATAACTATTATATGATAGAGTTGGGTTCCGGTGAGAATGAGAGTTAAGGTTAGAAGCATAAGAAAGAATCTCTACCCTTGGATGTACATTAGGATGTGATGCGCGGAGATGAGATGCACTGGATGTCTGGATCAATCCTCGTATCAAACACGATTCATGGGTGGATTTGAGATTAAAGGTGATCAAATGACCAGATCTCTTCTTACGCTTTTTACCTTAGCTCTTTTTCTTCCACAATCCTTTGCCTTATATGATATATACATATACACACCCATACATATAGGTGGAGGTTCAAACCAGAACACCTCCATTTTACGAGAATGCGGGAACACCCTTATCACATGTGATAATACACGTGAGGGAACCTGGTAGCGTGCAGACGACGTGTTCTGCGACTTAGGTCGCGCCAAAGGTCGTCTGCGTCTGTGATTTAGCATCACATGCGATGGTCTTGATGGATTATAGCATCACATCAAAAACACCCTTATCATATGTGATAATACATGCGATGGGGCTTAATGGTGTAAGGACGACTTGGCCAACAACCAAGATCGCGCCAAAAGTCGCATGCGTCACTGATTTAGTATCACATGTGTATCATATGTGATGAAATAATAATATCACATGTGATTGTCTATAGTAAAAGGATGTTTTCGCCTTCTCGTAAAATGAAAGTGTTCTCGTTTGAACCCTTTCATATATATGTACATATATATATAGGCGAAGGATCATGTGAGAAGAGAAGTTATTGTGAGAAGTATAAGAGGAGATCCGAACTCTTGATCACTTTTAATCTCATGGCCACCCATGAATTGTGCTTTAGAAGGAAATTGATCTAATGCCTCTCAGCGCACCTCATTAGTGTTGATATTAAATTAGGGTTGAACCAAGAGCGAAGATCTCTTCTTACGTTTCTCATCATAACTTTCATTCTCACTGTAACCCAACCATATATATAATCATTAAATAACATATAGAGGCAACTTACCATTTACGACTTGGTGACGACACGTGTTTATTTGGATCACAACAAAAATGCTAAAACTCATCTTGCTTCTTCGATAAAAAATTGCATCCCATGAACTCGAAATGACCTGAAAATCAACCAAAATCACAAGAGCGAACGATGGTACACGACACAAATTAAAGATTCAAGTACAATGGTAGAATAACAAAAGGGTCTGAAAATGAATGCTAAAACATGAGAAGGAAGAACCCAAAAAACACTTAACATGGTTCAAATTTTATAATTGATATAAAATTGCTATACATATGTATATATATATACACACACACATATATATATATATATATATATATGGAAGGGTTCAAACGAGAAACCCTGTGATTTGCGAAAACGCGAAAACAACCTATTAACCTCATATTGTGATAACAATAAAAATTAAAAGATTTTTTTAAATTAAAAATGAAATTAAAACAATTCAAAAAAATTTGAGAGGCAAAAGGGTAATATTGGAATTCAAAGTGATAAAATTTTAAAAACACGATCACACTAAACCCAATAATTTGGATAACATAATGAGCTATTATGGTTATCGCTTATTTCAACACGATTTGTTGTGATTTGGGTGATAATTATGTGATTTTCACACAATTATCACAAAGATTCCGCTCGGCTAGGGTTAACTTTTAGGAAATCGACTACCGATTTGGTGTGATATAGATGTGATAATCATGTGATATCACTATCATAACAGCACACTCGATTTGATCATGGTTTCGACGGTTATAACATCACTTGCGCACTCAATTTGATCATGGTTTTGATCGGTTAGGGTTAGACAATCACACACTTATCACAACGATTACTCATGATTTTGATAGGTTATGATTACACTCGATTGATCATGCTTTCGATAGGTTATGGTTACACAATCACATAATTATCACAAGGGAAGAGAAGAGATTGCAAACGAACATGATCAATCCAGGAAAAAAATGGATTAATTAATTAAAATAAAATAAAAATTACTTAACTACATTATTGTCCTTATTAATTTATTTATATTTAATATAAGTTAATTTATGAATTAAAAAAGTTTGAAGCTATTTGGTTGTTCTTGTGTTCTCGTAAATCACATGGATTCTCGTTTGAACCTCCACACACACACACACACACACACACACATATATATATATATATATATATATGTAGAGAGAGATAGAGAGAGAGTTTGTTTCAAATGCAACCCATCACATTTGTACAACCAATGCAACCMAATAAATTGAAATGTTTATGAAAATGATGAGAGTTCATTTATTATGATTTGAATATTTATGAAAGATGAATATAGTTTATGAATTGTGATCAATATTTTTTATTAGGAAACAATCAAAATTTCTATAAAATCGCATATTCATCAAATTAAATGGACGATTGAGATTGAGTTGTATTGGTTGTACAAATGCAAATGATTATATAATAACCAACCCCTCTCTCTATATATATAATTTGTAATTTTTTGTTTTTGTTTTTAGGATGTACAAAGTTAATCCGCATAAGGGCCTAAAGTTTTGTATCGTCTTATCATCTAATTTGATTAATATATAAACATACGGGTGTGATCATTAAATGATGGTACGTGACCGATTATTCGACATCGAGTGGGAATGGATGTATATATTAATGGATCCATAAAACTTATTTAGGGATGTTTATGGTTTAAGTTGATCGGATTAAAGATATTTGAACAACTCAATCCAATACTTGCGGTTTGGAAAATCTCAACTCAATCCAATGCTTCCGGTTTGAAAAATATCAATTCAACCCAACTCAAACCAAAGTGTAACCAAACCCAATGCAAACCATACAGATTGGTCGGGTTGATACGTTAATACATCAAAATATTATTCTAATATGAATATGTTGTTTTCTCCAATTTACTCATAATTATTTTTTTCATTATCAACCATTTGGTACAACTTATTCATACTTTTTAAATATTTAGTATATCACATTCAATTATTTTTTCTCAATTTGTGCACACACATACACACATCTATGTTCATAGTTACTGAACATATATATGTGTATATGAAAAGGGTTCATGATGGTGTAATTATCTAATGCACGTATTAAAGGAAACTCAACGATCATATTAGATCCAATAAATAAAGAGATATCGAGTTCATTCGGTTGAGTTGAGTTCAAATAGAAGTAACCCAATACCTACGTCTTTAAGATTTTACAACTCAAATAGATATCAGGTTGAGTTATATCACGTTGGGTTGAGTTGATCGGGTTTTTGAGCACCCTAAGTGTGAACTAACTTGCCACTCATATGTATTGTGTAATATACCGAGTCAAGTTAAATACAAGTAGTATATCTTTTGAAGTGTTCCATTAAAATATATTGAGCACGCCATTATCCACTCACGTCTTCTTTAACCCTAAATACCAAAATATCAAGTTGGCTCATTCGTCATTATCTTGAAAAAAAGTTTGTGATGCTGAACTGGACTTCCGATAATAAAATCGGAAATCCAAATCTGGGTCAGTCCCTGCAAAAACAATGTTTGTTCAATTACTCTTTTTACCCGCATAACAAGGGCTAGAAAAACAAGTAATTTCTGCTGGGCTGTAAGAATCGGTATTGAACATCCCCCTGTAATTGTACTGATCAGGGTTTGACAGAAGAACTTTCTAAGAAACCAGAGACCTCGTATGTGAAGTAAATCATTGCACCTATGGTCCAACTCTGTTCGATGAAATGAGGCATATTCTATATGGTATTTTCTACATGCATCTTACTGCCTAATTAATCTGTTGATCATCAGATATTAGTGTAAGTACAATTATTCATGCTTTAACAACCATCGTGTCTATGAAAATCGAACGGAAAATCTTTTGGCAGCATAATGATTTCCCATAGATTTTGGTGTCACTAATTGGTGGACGTATCGGAACACCATATCTTTAGCAACATCTATTTTTATTGTTTAAAATCAATTTACAGGGGTTAAAGTGTGAATTAATGGAAATTTCAGGGGGTGTAAATTACAAACATCACACTAGAAGGGCCATTATTGCATTTCACCCAATTCTTTTAAGCGGCAAATAAAACCTGTTATCCACAACGAAGTTGCTGTGTTTCTTCTTCTTCTTCTTCTTCCCCTTCCCCTTCCCCTTCCCCTTCAACCCCGCAGCAGCTCAAACTCCATCGTTGGCTTCTTGCGTCTCTTTGCTCTCTCTCTCTCAAGAACACAGAATTACACGGGAAAGGAAGTGAATTTTCAATCTCAGCGCGTAAAATATACTGTCGACTCATGCGAACTAAAACCCTAGCAACAAGATGACACTCTCATACCACCACTCTATCTCGCCAATTCTCATCCGTAGTACGAACAAACCCACCATACAGGTGTACAGTTTCCCCCAATTTACCACTCGAGGGTTCAAATTTTCTGGCCGCCGGTCAATCGTAATCTGCGAGAGCTCAGTAGCCAAACCACCCGGATCCAGATCCAGGACGAGATCCAAACCCAAACCGAAAGAGCTTGTTTTCGGATACCCTTCAAGTAGTGTCGAGAAGGGTAAGTACAGCTACGAGGTTGAAAGCCTACTCAACAAACTTTCCAGCTTACCCCCACGAGGCAGTGTAGCGCGTTGCCTCGAGCCGTTCAAGAACAAGCTTAGCCTCAATGACTTTGCTTTGGTTTTTAAAGAACTGGCACAACGTGGAGACTGGCAAAGGTCTTTACGACTCTTTAAGCAAATGCAGAGGCAGGTTTGGTCTAAGCCAAACGATCATATTTACACGATAGTTATTGGAATTTTGGGTCGTGAAGGTCTTCTTGATAAATGTTCCGAGGTGTTCGATGAAATGCCTAGCGATGGGGTGCCTCGTAGCGTGTTTTCATATACTTCCATTATCAATGCCTATGGGCGTAACGGTCAGTATGAAATTTCCTTACAACTTCTTGATAGAATGAAGAAAGAGCGCATTCCCCCCAATAATTTGACTTATAATACCGTGATTAATTCCTGTGCTAGAGGTGGGTATGAATGGGAAGGCTTATTGAGTATATTTGCTGAAATGAGACACGAAGGGTTACAACCAGATTTAGTTACTTATAATACTTTGCTTGCTGCTTGTGCTAATAGAGGTTTAGGTGATGAAGCCGTAATGGTTTTCAGGAGTATGAACGAGGGTGGAACCATACCAGATACTACTAGTTATGATTACTTAGTTCAGACTTTTGGTAAATTGGGTAATCTTAGCAAGGTTTCAGAACTTCTTAGGGAGATGGAGTCCAGAGGGAATTTACCCGAAGCATCATGCTATAATGTTTTATTGGAAGCATACTCAGATTTAGAACAAATTAAGGAGGCAATGGATGTTTTTAGGCAAATGCAGACGGCTGGTTGTGTAGCTAATGCAATGACTTACACTATTCTGTTGAATCTTTTTGGGAGGCAAGGGAGGTACGATGAAGTCCGTGAACTTTTTCTTGAAATGAAAGTTAGCAGTATGGGGCTGGATGCTGGTACTTACAACATTCTTATAGATGTTTTTGGTGAAGGTGGGTATTTTAAGGAGGTGATAACTTTATTTAATGATATGGTAGAAGAGAAGATTGAACCGAATATGGAGACATATGAGGGATTGATAGTTGCATGTGGGAAGGGAGGGCTTCATGAAGATGCCAAGAGGATTCTACTGCACATGAGGCAGAATGGATTAGTGCCAAGTCCAAAGGCTTATACTGGGATTGTGGAAGCTTATGGACAGGCTGCGTTATATGAGGAAGCTCTTGTTACTTTTAATACAATGAATGAACTGGGGAGCATTCCAACTGTTGAGACCTTTAACTCTTTGATTGATGTGTTTGCCAGAGGAGGACTGTATAAAGAATCTGAAGCAATAGTATCTAGAATGGATGAAAGTGGTGTTTCAGGGGACAAAGATACATTTAATAGTGTAATTGAAGCATTTAGACAAGCAGGACAGTTTGAAGACGCTATTAAAGCCTATGTTGATATGGAAAAGGCAAAGTGTAACCCAGATGAACGGACCCTTGAGGCAGTTCTGAGTGTTTACTGCTTTGCAGGTCTTGTTGATGAGAGTGAAGAGCAGTTTCAGGAGATTGAGAAAATGGTTGTGTTGCCTAGTGTCATGAGCTACTGCATGATGCTGGCAATTTATGCAAAGAATGAAAGGTCAGTTATGAAATAATGCTGATTTACAACTTACATGGCTTTATCATTTTCTTTATGATAATTCAGCACAAAATTGATTTATAGTATGCTTTCACTAAATTGTTGATGATACAACATTCTCATAACAAGGAATTTAGAACATCATTCCTCAATTCCAGTTTCTTTTACAGCTTTGGTATTTCAAATTTTCAGGTGGGACGATGCCTATAAATTGCTGCATGAGATGATCAAATGTGATTCATCGAATGTTCATCAGGTGATTGGGCAGATGATTAGGGGAGATTATGATGATGCCTCCAATTGGCAAATGGTAGAGTATGTCTTTGATAAACTAAATACAGAAGGTCGTGGTTTAGGATTGAGGTTCTACAACGCACTGCTAGAAGCTCTTTGGTGGTTAGGCCAGAAGGAAAGAGCTACAAGAGTGCTTAAGGAAGCAACAAAGAGAGGACTTTTGCCTGAAATATTCCGTAACAACAAGCGTGTGTGGTCTGTCGATGTACACAGGTATAGTTGCAATGCTTTTCTTTTAGTTAAAAAATATGTGGAAATACAGTTACATTAGAAAGTTGTAGATAAGCAATCTTGTACATGTTGTTTCTCAATCTGTAGGTTGTGGCCTGGTGGTGCGTGTGCGGCTATATCAGTTTGGTTTGAGGACATGTATCAGAAGTTAGTGGATGGAGAGGATCTTCCTCATCTAGCTTCTGTGGTTGTGGTGTAAGTTCCTTCCCCCAACTTGGTGGTTGTGTGTTAATTTTGTTCCCACAAATTGTTAACGAGAACAGGACTCCTTGGTCCCAAATATAGTTATCCTTGTTCTGAATTTGGCTTGAAGATAGATCTTTTTGTAGCGTCATAAATAGGGGTGAGTTTAGTTGAGCCAAACCCGAGCTTGCTCGGCTCATGAAAGAATCAGCAGTCTGGGACTCTGGGTAGACTCCTGTTTTTTCTCTCTCAAAGAACTCTAACTTGAGCTCAGCTTTGCCAAAAGCTGGAGCCTTGGCTTGCCTCGTATAAGGTTGGTTTCTATGAGCTGGTGTAGGTTTATATAGTCCTGGGCCTAGGGTTGGCTTGTATGCACTTGTCTAAAATTTAAAACTGAACCCATCGAGCGAAGTTACAACGTCCCTCGTCAAACATCTACAAAGTCCCCAAGAGGCCATGACTAGTGATTGTAAAAAAAATACAAATAACACTGACCGGCATTTTAAGGTTAGATGGGTTTGTCTCACTTGAGTTCTGCTCTTTTAGGCTCACTGAGCTGCCAACATTAGTCACATTAAGCTAGAGCTTGGCTCAGATGGTCAAACCAGTTGGTCTGCTTGGCTTGCCAGTTTTTTTACGAGATCTCACAGTATCTGTCTAGCCAGCTTGTCTTGCCTACACCTGCATTTACAATTAGCCAACTATTTCTAAACAGGATTGTGGGCAATGTAAGACGTGGGATGCCTTGAGAACGTTTATTTCATACTGTTGGAGTTCCACATCGGCTAGACTTGGACCCCCCTTTCTCCTTGGTATATGTTGGACCCCTCTCTCTCCTCAAGGGCTCTTTTTTAGAGTAATCTATGGGGTTCTACATATTTTATCATGGTATCAAAGTTAAGGTCTACCACTCTTAAGGACTCGGTATTCTGGGGGCAATTTGTACATGGCTAGCCCCTCTTGACACTTTGGGACAATCTGTGCCAGTCTAGCCTCCGTTGGAGGGGCGTGTTGAGTTTTTTGGAGGTAATCTAATGGAGTTCCACATATTCTATCATAGTATGGAAAATGTGCAAAGGGATTAGGGGAATGATCTCCGCTCAGGAATGAGAATGCTCGAATATAGGATGATCAGCAATAGCACTCTAGTAGTGGTGAAAATCTGTCAACAGCTTATTTGGTTCCAGTCTTAACCCTTTTCTAGTCCTACTAACTATTAGTTGACATTATTTGGAGGTTCTTATCTTTTGGCAACTTCTTTACGGTTCTGAATGCCTTGGGATATTTTCTGTTTGACAAACATAAATAGCATTAAGTTCTTAACAAGATCCTTCTGAAATATGATTAAATCGATCCCGCCTGAATATCAGCTTTGTTTTGATGACAATCACTCCAACCTGACACAGTTCAATGGTATATATATATTTTTTTTTTCAAGCAGAAGAGGGCAGATGGAGAAGAGCTCCATAACACGAGATTTTCCCGTTGCAAAGATCACGTATTCGCTTTTGAAGGATGGTGTTTCATCATCGTTCTGTTTACCCGGATGGAACAAGGGAAGAATCGTGTGTCAACAAGCTCAGCTTAAGCGGATTCTAGGTGATATGGAATCAGGTTCTGAAAAACTCGGGATTATTAGTTTGAGTAATTCCCCCATTCCCGTTTTGGAATCAAGAACAAACAAAGCTAAGAAGAAGAAAGGCAGTATGAAAGAGGAAGTAAAGGGAGGCGGTATAAATGGTGGGACGAATATCGATACACGAACAGAGCTGGTGACGGGCTCCATTTGAAGAACGAAACAAATGCCGGCATAATCAAGCTGATTTCGATGATCGAAAAGTGGCTACAGGTATGCATCCCCCACCCCGCAAGAGGTTGAAAGTGAAAAACTGATATTGTGTGGTTTAAGAAGGTAGAATTAAAAGCCAATTTTGATCTGTTAGAATAATCTGAGTTATGAAATTGTAGTAGTTGTTGTTGAGAGTAAAGAAAGCTTTAAGGTCTGTAATTAATGGACATCAGAGCTGTTTGTATTTGAAAAATCCATTTTTTTTTCTCTCCCCACACACACACACACACACACACACACATATATATATATATATATATATATGGTAAAGTTTAAAGAGAAAACCGTAAAAAATGAAAAATTGAAAAACACTTGTAATCGTTCATTTGAATGGTATGTACATGTGCATATTGGTAATTTTAAGCAATTTATCCAATATGCACGTATGCATAACATGCACATGTACATAAGTACTAAAAAACAACTTCAATTACCGGTATATATACGAGCATATCGTCTAGAAGAATATTTACCACTTCTCATTTTAAATATAAAAAATCTAAAATATATATAATAATGTGAATTCTAACAAAATACTAATTATTATCTTTTTAAAATATTATATAATTAAATAAAAGAATAAGTGACTTTATTATTAAATCTAAATTAAATTGTAATAAAAAATTGAATTAAAGAAATTCACAAAAAACAACTATTAAATATTTAATTTGATACTAAAATGATACTAATTTTTTTCAATTTTTTATGATACATTTAAATTTATATTTTATTTAAAAAATAAAAATACTATCGTTTTTTTTTCAGTATCACATAAAATCATATTATAACATTGATGAGAACAAAATAAAATAAAATATTAAAAGTGATATATATTTCGCTTCATTCTACGAGTAACATGCTAGTATTATCTGTACTATATTATAAAACATTTGACAAAAACTCTTAAAAACTATTTTTTATGCACGAAATAATGTTTATTGATGCATATTACTTAAAATTTAAGATTTCAAGTAAATTATGCATAAATACAACTTATTAAAGCTCCATATTTGAATTCCCGTAACAAACTGCAGATAAACATAATCAAATATTGGATAAACATCTTATTTTAAATATAAAAAACCTAAAATATAATTAGAATAATCATTGAGTTCTAACAGAATACTTAATTATTATCTTTATAAAAAATTACATTATTAAACCTAAATTAAATTTATTTGTTACTAAACCTAAATTAAATTATAATTAAAAAAATTGAATTAAGAAAATTACACCAAAACATAAGAATTTTTAAAAAAGTTAATTTGATATTGATATCGATATATTTTTTTTCTTCTAAATTTTATGATATTTTAAAATTTATATTTTATTCAAAAATAAAAACATTATCGCTTTCTTACAACCACATAAAACCGTTTATATCGTCATATCGTATTAAATCAAGATATGTTTCGATGCATTGTATGAATACCCTTCTGGTATTATATTAATAGATATATTAATTGATGGAAGGGTTTGAATCACGTTCGGTTGCGTCAACATCCTCTCCATGAATCAAATGTGGGAAATGCTTCACCCACGGTCCAAAAACACTATTATTTTTATACACATCATCACCACTCATTATGCACACAATACGATTTTATATATACTTTAATATGTATATATATATATATATATAATATTTGTGGATAAAAATATATAATAAAAAACATAATTGAACCATCAAAATTAATTTTTTTAATTTTTGATAAATAATTATGAAGGTACTTTTTCTATGTAAAGTTGATGAAACAATTGGCGCTTTATACCATCTTCTACCCACAATATTATTAGCAACATTAAAAAAAATGATGTGTCTATAATTAAAACTATTTTCCATTTTAATCTAAGCTTAAAAACAAATCCTATAATATGATAATATAACGGGTGTTTGAGATTACTTATAAAAACAACTTATTAACTTATTCTGGTGTGACACTGGTAATAAACACTTTTGAGTGTTTGGATAAACAACTTATACTGCTGCCAAACCGGTAATAAAAAGTTTTTGAAAAAGTTAAACTTTTCTGACTTATAATAAGTTGATAAGTACTTTTGTAGAAAAACATAAGTTGTTTCAAATAAGCAATCCCAAACACCCCCATAATATATTTGTAGGGCCAAAGAATGCACCATCATATTTGGCATTCAACATCACCAATCTGTTGATCTTTTTTTTTTTATTAACTTGGATATTCAACTTGTTATACGAGCCGATTAATCCCAAAACGACCATCCGTTTCGCAGGTAGTCCGGAATCATCGCATTTGAATATCCGTGGCTACAAGAGAATTTTTATTTTTCATTAGATTTGAAGTAATAATAACTTATTGTATAATTGACTTGTAGATGGTTATTCACCGTTAGCCCGTAGCTATAATGTGTTTCTTCATTTCTCGATATCGACGTACGAGGTCATTATGTTATTGACGTATGGTAGGGTTTGACTTTTTTTAATCATAAGAAATATCGATAAGATTAGTTTGACCTTCCATACTGGACAAACCAAAGCTTTTTTGGCACCTTCAATATTTCAATATGTATTTAAAATACCTTACCAATAATAATAATAATAATAATAATAATAATAATAATAATAATAATAATAATAATAATAATAATAATAATAATAATAATAATA